CTCTTCCCTCATCAAATCTTCCCAAATATCCTTCTCCCCTTACTATGAAACTCTGTTTCCCATAAGACATCCAAGCTCTCTCTCTCTCTCTCTCTCTCTCTCTCTCTCTCTCTCTCTCTCTATCGCTAATGCTTTTCTCCAACACTGGATTGCTGTTTTAATAAATAAAGAGATATATATATAAGAAAGCTTGGACAACAATTTAAACATTCAATTAAAAAAAAATTGCCGTGGAAATTTAAAACAGACAACGGTTTAAAGAAAATATTGACGTCTGAAAATTGAAAAACAAATGAAAAAGGCAAAGTTATGAGAATTTACCTTTTCATCTTTCTTTTCTTCAATATTTTCTACATCCCCAGATTTCTGTTATAAGAAATAAAGAAATATATATAAGACATTGTACAAAAAGTAAAAAAAATTAAAAAGTAAAAAAATTAAATTAAACCGTCGTGGTAATTAATAACATACAACGGTACGTAAGAATTACAGACGTCTAAAATTAATTAAACGACGGTAAATAATAAACGTCGTGGTAATTCATGTATTACGACGGTAAAAAAGCTCGTACAACAATTTAAACATTCAATTAAAACCAAAACTGTCCTAGAAATCCACGTCTGAAAATTGAAAAACAAATGAAAAAGGCAAAGTTATGAGAATTTACCTTTTCATCTTTTTTTTCTTCAATATTTTCTACATCCCCAGATTTCTGTTATAAGAAATAAAGAAATATATATAAGACATTGTACAAAAAGTAAAAAAAAGTAAAAAATTAAAAAATTAAATTAAACCATCGTGGTAATTAATAACATACGACGGTACGTAAGAATTACAGACGTCTAAAATTAATTAAACGACGGTAAATAATAAACGTCGTGGTAATTCATGTATTACGACGGTAAAAAAGCTCGTACAACAATTTAAACATTCAATTAAAACCAAAACTGTCCTAGAAATCCACGTCTGAAAATTGAAAAACAAATGAAAAAGGCAAAGTTATGAGAATTTACCTTTTCATCTTTATTTTCTTCTATCTTTTCTACACCTTCAGATTTCTGTTATAAGAAATAAAGAAATCTATATAAGACATTGTACAAAAAGTAAAAAAAAATTAAAAAGTAAAAAAATTAAATTAAACCGTCGTGGTAATTAATAACAAACGACGGTATTTAAGAATTATAGACGTCTAAAATTAATTAAACGACGGTAAATAATAAACGTCGTAGTAATTCATTTATTACGACAGTTATGAGAATTGAAAAACAAATGAAAAAGGCAAAGTTATGAGAATTTACCTTTTCATCTTTCTTTTCTTCTATCTTGTCTACATCCCTAGATTTCTGTTATAAGAAATAAAAAAATATATATAAGACATTGTACAAAAGGTAAAAAAAATTAAAAAGTAAAAAAATTAAATTAAACCGTCGTGGTAATAAATAACAGACGACGGTATGTAAGAATTACAGACGTCTAAAATTAATTAAACGACGGTACATAATAAATGTTGTGGTAATTTATTTATTACGACAGTTATGAGAATTGAAAAACATATGAAAAAGGCAAAGTTATGAGAATTTACTTGTTCAACTATCTCAACTATCTTTCCTTCTACTCTCTTTTCTACTTCCCCGGATTTCTGTTTTAAAAAAATAAAGAAATATATAAATGACATTGTACAAAAAGTAAAAACATGTGAATAAACCGTCGTGGTAAAGCATAACAAAAGACGGTGTGTAATAATTACAGACGTCTAAATAACATAAAACGACGGTTTAATAAAAAATGCGTCGGGGTATAACTTTGAACACGGCGGTAAATATAAACAGAGAAACATAGAATTCAAAGTTCAGAGACGTTACCATATCTTCCTGCTTTTCCCCATTCTTGGCTGTATCCTCCTCAAATTGTAGGGCTCTAACATCAAGTGCCCCAGAGCGGCTTGCTTTGTCCGACATTGGATTTTTGGGACTTTGCCCTTGGATTTGACAGGGGTTAGTATTCAGTTTCAGCACGCTTGGATCAAAATTGGGGATGAGTTTGGAAAGCTGACTCAGCAAATTTTCCCTCTCAACTTCTACCAATTGCTTGGTCCTAGCCTCCATCTTTAAACTCTCTTCCCTTGATCTAGCCTCCATTTTCAAAGTCTCTTCTTGAAGGACAAGTCTTACACTTTCCTTCAATTGATCGGCAAACCTTACCTTCTGTTGTCTAGGTAAATTGAAGTATTGCTTAGGGGAAACCCCAGCCCCTACCCCTCTAACTCTTCCTGGATGCTCGGGACCCAAAGCCAATGTCAACACATCATTGGTTCCTGACAGAGTAAGAGTGCCTTCAGAGACTTGCTTTTGCAAATCATCCTAACAAAAAGACATAATAAAAAGTCAGAATAAGAAAACACACGACGGTTATTTATAAAAAATTGACGTCATATAATATTTCACACGCCTCAATAACATAACAATCGACGTAATATAATATTTCAGACGACGCTACCTAAATACCGACGTTATTAATTTATTAACACGACGTCAATAATAAACCACCGACGTCTTATGATATAATTACAAAAAACAGAGTAGTGATTCCAGATTCAGACCTTTTACGTCGCTTTTTAAAATATTACGACGTAGTAATACTTTTCACACGTCGTTAAAGGTCTGAATCTGGAATCTGGAATTTAAAACAGAGTGAGTAGGCTTACAATAACAGCAGACGTAATAAAAATTTAAAACAGAGTGAGTAGGCTTACAATTAATTGTGCTTTCTCTGCAGTCTTTGGATCCGGGATGTTATCATGTTTGTCTTCTCTAGCTTTCTTCCATAAGGTAGATCGATCAATTTCTACCCCAGGCATGGTTTCCATCAAGTGCTCCTCCAAACCAACATATCCTTTTCGAGACAATCGATGATTGTACTCAAGTTTCTCCCTCCTCTGTGATTGTTCAAAATGCACGCCCACAAATTTTTCAGATAACCTTGAAGCTACAAAGGCATCCCATTGAGCTTTCTCTATGAATTTGTATGTTTCAGGGGGCTGCCTTAATCTATCCTGCTCCTTGATGAATGGAAGGATATGAAACCTCGTTAGTGTAGAC